GGGAATGATTTTGCAGTAACGTTTACGTGCCTGCATCGTCCTCGGAACTGTGAGTTTACGTCCCGATACCGTTTCGGGGACGTTGCGAAACCGTAAATGTATGGTAGTGCCAACGAAAATGGGACTTTTTTCCATGCGCCTTCAACCTCGAAGATATTTATTTGATATTTCTCTCTCTTTCAACTAAAATTATGCATATTGTGGTCCCGTTCATCCAGCCAGTACTTTACCTTCACAATATGTCGACCTATATTTTGTTTACTTGATCATTATTACGTATCTATATGAATATTGAAAGGCTTTGATTTTCGTACTCAAGCAGCTGAAATCCAAACGCGTGAAATTTTTCTGTGAAAATTAAGTATGCTAGATCTAAAAATAACAACGCGCCCGCAAACTAAAGCATTTTGTAGTAAAAATATGTAGAATAGAAGAAATTCTAAAATACAAAATACTTTATTCGAAGGAGTTAGCACTTTTAATAGGTCCATTATAATTAGAAATCATAAAAGTCAAGGCTTTTTTCAGTAAACAGATAATATAAGGCGTGAATTTTCTAATTTTACACAAATCGAAGTTTTTCCAAAAAATGGCGTCTTAAATTTTCTATAAAACATGGCGTATATTATTCAACGCTACGTTGAAGTAACATCTTAAAGTAGAATTTACCTATGCATAAGTGGCGCTCACGAATCGGTTACCTTACAATGTTACTTGAAAGTGGCTAACTCTAAAGTGTTTTCTATTGTCCCTCTGCGGTTGTGGTTACCTTTAAAAACACTTAGTAGTCACGCCTACTTGAAAGTTGAATTTTTGACGTTACGGTGACAAATATTTGTTACTTTTAAGTTTTGGTATCAAATAAGTAGCTAAACTTTAACGCCCCACGGTTCCAGCAACCCTGAAACTTACCACAATTGGGTAAGTGTTACGGAAATTCCACTAATTCTTTTGACTTACTTGAGGCTTAAACTTCATAGTAAGTTATTTGGTACCAATTACTATTTTTTTACCTAATCATAGTAGTAGTGTCGATCAGTGAGGGTTTCTATAACTGATGCTAGTTGGGACTGCTGACGCTGTACGTCGCACTATCCTGCGCAAACCCAACAAACCGGCCTATATAATTTACATTCGGTTGATTTTAGCAGACGTGCGTGGCGTTTGACAGAATATGAGTTGTGCGTCGCGCACTGCCCTAACAAACCGTACCTTAAGAATTCCACTTTTTTTTGAAATGGATAACACTTATTTGGATTTAGTTTTAAGTTGGAATTCCGGAGGCGGTAAAAAACTTCTTTTAGGTTATTGAGACGTTCTTGGAACGAATTTCCTATGATCATGACATCATCTAAATATACCAGGCAAGTTCTCCATGTGGGTCCCGCAAAACTAGATGCATCACTCGCTCAAACGTAGCTGAAGCATTACACAATCCGAAAGCCATTACGTTAAACTGGTATAACCCGCTACCGGTACTGAAGGCAGTTTTCTCTTTGTCATCTTTGTGTATTACCACTTCCCAGTATCCACTCTTAAGATCCAAGGTGGAAAACTATTTGAAGCCCGATATAGTTGTATCGTCTAAAATCGGAAGAGGGAAGCTGTCCTTCTTGGTGACATCATTAAGCTTACGTCCTCACAAAATTTAAGACTTCCATCTTTCTTCGTAACCAATACTACTGGCGCAGATCATGGACTATTTGACTCTTCAATAGTTCCCTCTTGAAGCATTTTATCAATTTGGTTTTCCACTTGCTGTTGTTTAGCTACTGGCATACGTCGAGGTGGTTGTCTTATTGGGTGCGCCAATCCAGTATCAATTTTGTGCCAATCTTCAACTTAAAAACTACTAATACCGGCCTTTATATATCTGTAATCCATTCTTGTAAAATCCAGAATAAACGCGATAATCCCCTTTCTGGAACAAAGCAGTACTTTTTGGAATTTTAGGTATGGATTTTGTATACCCTGGCGAAAGCGCACCGTCACAATACAATCAAATAAACCCACGAATAGGAAACATATAAGAATCTCAAAACGAGTCCTACAGTGGAACCGAACTAGAAGAAGACAGGGAATAAGGAAGGGAGGAAACGAGAAAGACCTAGAAGAAGCTAGATAAACAGAGTCCTAGATGGGAGATTTGCGAGCAGATAAAAACAATAGGGAATTGGGAATCGGAACAGTGTTGCCAACTCGGTAGAATTTCCGCTAGTTCTAGTGGATTTGAAAGTCGTTTAATGGAATGGTTTTAGCAAATTCCACTATAGTGATAATTTTAATGGGATCCACGGTATCAAGTGAATTTTTAGTAATATTTAGCTTTCGTTAGTTTTCGACACTTCTTTTTAAAATTTCGTCACTATAGAGCAAATAGTGGAAACTCCTTATCGTTAGGGTACAGCCAGAGTAGAGTAGAGTGAAAAGAGTTAACTCCACGAGCATCACCATCACCTCGCGAGATTACATGACTATGTAACTGCTCTTTATCTGCTCCAACTCCGTTTTGACAAGCATAACTCACCCATCTCACAAGGTGATGGTTTTATGTTAACTGTCAACATTGTCACTTTCAAATTTAAAGTAAGCAAAGCAAAGCAAACTAGTACGGGATACGAGGCCTATCTCATCAAATCATTTTACACCGTCTTGCATTGTTATCATCAGTTAGATAACATGATGCTGAAACGCACTTGCGCAGTGAAATATATGGAAGTGGGGAATTTAGCTGATAAAAATGTTTGAGAAAATGTCGTCATAATCCAGGAAAATACACAATTTCACACCGTCTTGCATTTACTTATTAAGTTAATTTGTACACAAACAAAATTAGAATACCCTATGCAAGACATTTTCCTGGGGGTTTTCGGGTTGTAATATTAGATAGAAATTGTCAATTTTTCAGAGGGGTGAAATATCATTTCACACCACTCAATTGTTGATTTAGATTAAAGCTTGAATGTAGAATAGCCATTGGATACTGATGCAAGACGTACTGTGAGGGGATAATGGGCTGCAAGACAGAGGTCAATGTGTTGTCTTATGAGGGAGGGAGAAATCATTTTACACCGTCTTGCACTGGTACTTATGGGAAAAATAGAACACATTGATAACATTTTTAAAAATACAAGACATTCTAAATGGGAAGAAAGGACTGCAAGACGATGATGAAGTTGACTAATTTTGACAAGGGTCAATCTATCAGGTACAAAGGTGAATACTACTTCAAATTACAAATTATGCACATTAATTTTAAATAGTTTTGCTCTTCACCACGTAGAATAATTCTATTTTGCGAAATTCTCCTAATAATATGTATATATGAATGTTTCTACGGACATCAAATAAAAAAAGATTGAAAATTGTTTTATTTTTGACGGCTTTTAATCATTTAGGTTCTCTTTGAGGTGGATATCCCATGACACATAACATGTTTTGTGCACATAACAGATTGTAAGCATTAAATTTGAAGAATTTCATTTTAAAGCAGCAAAAAAATGTGAAAATGACACAACAAATAATCTGTCTGAAATTGTAAACAAAAATTATAATTCCTGTATTCAACAGACTCCCCTGTTGAGCTGCTATGTCAACTGTCCTTTTTCATCTGTATGATTTAAAAAAGAATAAACATTGAACGGTTCAGTACCTAAATAACTCAACAGTTCAGTGAAAAAATTAAAATGGATTTTTTAACTTTTTTCCCAGAAAAAACGTCTTGGACTGATGTAATACCATTTCTTAACATAGATTCTTTCGGCGGACATAAGCATGAAGTGGTGTAAAATAATTTTTCACTCCCTCATGAGACAACACATTGACATCCGTCTTGCAGCCCGTTATCCCTCTACAGGACGTCTTGTATCAGTATCCAGTGGCTATTCTACATTCAAGCTTTGATATAAATCAACAATGGAGTGGTGTAAAATGATATTTCACCCCTCTCAAAAATTGACAATTTCCATCTTATATTACAACCCGAAAACCCCCATGAAAATGTCTTGCATGTGTTAATCCAATTTTGTTTATGTACAAATTAACTCAATAAATAAATGCAAGACGGTGTATAATTAAATATTTTCCTCGTTTATGATGACATTTTCTGAAACATTTTTTTCAGCGAAATCCCCCACTCCCATCTATTTCCCTGCACAAGTGCGTTTCAGTACCATGTTATCTAACTGATGATAACAATGCAAGACGGTGTAAAATGATTTGATGAAATAGGCCTCGTATCCCGTACTAAACGGCTTTACCGTGCTGCCTGCTGAAACATGCATAACCTAAGAACAGAGAAAAGAGACCAAAACACAACATTCATTCATCAATCAGCATTCATCATTCATTCATTCTACTTCAAAAATCAACATTAACAATCACCCTGGACCTGCGGCCTGAACACTGAACACCCAGGTTACCTAGAGAACCAGTCGTTTTTTTTCAATCCATATTTTAAGAGTTATTGAACAATAAAAAGATAAAGAGGGGAGCGCTAAAAATTTCAAAAAACAATGGAAAAAATTTAGTAGATTTTCCACTAGTCCAAAAATTTTTCGCCTGCGACGCTATTTCTCTCTCCTAGTGGGTTCTAGTGGATTTGAATATCGTTTCTAGTGGAAGCTCTTGGTTTAGAGTTGGCAACACTGAATCGGAAGATGGAGAACGTTGTGAAACCAATTTATACACAACGAGAGAGTGATTAGATTTAATGCGTGAGCTCAATTGCTTTCAGTCCGCCCCTGGTAAAGTTTGAAATACTTACATACCGCAAAATGTACTTTCTCTTTCGTCCAGTCAATTAAAAAATTTAAATCTAGGGTCAACAAGTACCAATTATACGTATTCTGATTTTTGATCCTGCCTTTAATCTTTATTCCCGCTGAACCAGTTATTATTGTTATTTTTAAAGTTCACTTGTTCTCGCGTGCTGTTGTCCTCAAACAATAAACATTTTTCATGAGTAAAGTTATTCAAGGTTTCGTTGCTTTTAATTCTAGATAAGCGACAATGATAATGAATTAGATCCGCGGCCAAGAATCAGTTCCGTAACTTCAACAACCACCCTTAGGCCTACCAGATCTCGTCAATTGCCAAAATTTTCTGAAAAGCCCAAACAAAAATTTGAGAAAACCAAATTTTCACCGTCCAAGCCAACATCGACACCCAGAAAGTCATATTCAACCAAGTCATACTCTACAAAATCATCAGCAGCTCATCATCCAAGAAGAAAAGCTTTGAGGTCTACAGCTGTGCCGCCTCCTACAACACCACTAAGTGTAATTAATAGGGAAGCGAAATTTTCAGCTAAATTTATTAAAAAAGAAAATAATGGAAAAGCATTTGGTGGTCAACTGCCTAAAGGATTGTATAGTAGCAAGAAAAACAACGAAAATGATTCTTCAGAGGAGGAGATTGGAAGCAAATTAGATGTTTCTTTAATTCAGGTGATTAAATAGAAAAATTTATACTTGTCAATATAATTTAAATTTCCAAATATTTTAGAGCGCAAATCCAGTTCAACCGATAAAAAAATTCAACGCAAGCCGGTATAGTTCTAGATATCGTAGCGACATCTCAACTAGAAGTTCTGTGATCAAACCAACTACCAGTGCGCCATTCTACATACCTACTATACCCACTCCTGCCTACGTACCAACAGTACCAACAGTAACGCCACCTGTTGCACCGGTAAGTAATTAATGTTTTAGAAATTTAAAAAATAATTATATGGGAATGGTTGCAAAGTAATTTTTGGTTCAAATGATTCAGAAAAGATGAAATAAAATAGTACGCCTTCAGTTTGACTAACAAATTGTTTTGTATTTCTCAAGGAGATAGTGATATGGTCGGATCACAGACCTTTTGACAACACCTGGTATTATGTGAAAAAATGATGCTTTTCCACAATGTCTGGATACACAATCTTAGAGTTAGATTTTGCACTGTAATTTATTTTAAAATCACAAATATATATATAGTCCTTATGCACAATATTCACTTCCATTACCTACATTTTTTGATGTATTTTATAATAACTGTGAATATCTGCTACACTGAAATACATACTTAATAAAGTAGAAAAACAAATTGTAAAAATCCAAAACCTAACCAACACAATTTAACACAAAATCATTGTTTCGAGATACTTACTACTTAATTTAAGTTTTTTTCTTGTAGAGGGGATTCGGCAGGTTTTGTTGGGTTTTGGATTTCGCAAATTGATTGCACCTATTTTATTTATCAGACACAAAATATGGCAATGGTAATAATTGTGAACACAATATTATATAATTTATAATTTTACAAGGGGTACAATATGGATGATATTTTTCTGTTTTATTATTTTTTTCACCATGGTGCCCTATTTACCATTGAACTAAGTCCTAGAAATCAACACTTGCCAGTTTCTGTGTTCATGTACTAACTTAAATATTTATACCTGAAAAGGTGTACTATTTTATTTTCTAAATAAAGCATTTTTGAAAGAACACTTGTATTTTTTACTTTGTAAATAGATACATGGCACGGAAGTAACTTTTAGCACAAACTTTGCACTTCAGGTATTGGGTTGGTGATTTATTGCGCACATTTATTTATATCAGAACTTCAAAAATTATAAATAAATATCCGCATGAATATATTTTATGTAATTTTTTAATAATTCTTAAATCCTTATTGAATTTAACAATAATATAAACCGGGTAATATTTGCTTTCATTTTCGGTACTAATAATCCTAGCAATTTGATTTTCCTTTCCCTATACAAATTTATTTTTATTTATTTATTTAATGGGAAATAGGTGCACAAATAATTTTTATTTATAAGGCACTTTTTAACTCATATAATAACACACACCTCCAAAAAATACTCAACAATTAAAATATATAACCGGTTTAGATTTGTTAAGTTCGACCAAGGATCAAAAAATAGATATATAAATTATTGACACAATTTTTTTGACCCACACTTGCAGGTAGATGGAATCGTGGCAGTGAGTGATGCTGACTTAGGAGTGGAAGTAATCAGTTTTGATGATCCGAGTAATTCAATATCTTCAGCTGATTTGGTTAATGGAGAATACTTAACTACGGATAAAAATTTAAAATTGTCACCTACGGTAACTACGAGAAAACTACGTTACACAAAAAATGAGAATTTTATTTAAAAATAAACTTCAATAGATACTTCAATTCACACCGAGGTTTATTTTCAAATAAAACTCTAATAATTTCAGATTTACTTTGACCAAAAATAAATTACAAAATTATTCTTTCTTTTCTTATTCAAAAGGTAAAGGATGGCACAACAGAGAAACCCGTATCCATAATCGAGAGGATAATAAATTCGATTACTCTGATATCGACTACAGAGGCACCCAACACAACCTTGAACAATCTTCCATCACCAACCACCACGCAGGCTTCAGGAAACTCGGCAATATTGAAATTGGCCGCAAAAAAACTCACAACTAAAGACAAGACTGACGTTCAGACTAACATAATCGAGACTATAACCAGCGAAAAACCTACTACTATTATCGAGAAAATTCGTAGTTCTTTATCAGCGATCCAAACTAATGAAGTAGGTACCAGTGATACTTCTTCTTCCACTCCGCTGTCCACTGTAACTAAATATTCGGCAAAATATAGAGGTGGTTCTGTAGAATCTACTACTGCGCTTCCTGCACCATTGCCTTTAAGCACTTCTGTAAATCCTTTAAGTGTCTTTGATAAAATTAATGAAAATGAGGTTCTTGAAGAAAATGCCATTGGAAAATTGTTAAATATCCTCAATGGACTTGTTTCTACTGAATCTCCAGATGCACCAGGAAAACTTGTTATTGTTACACCTAAAATTCCCACCAGTGGATTTGTGGCTACAACATTTTCGCCACAAGAACCTATTGAGGCAATAACTTTAAGTAGTCTTTCTTCTACTGAATCTCTCTCTTCAACTGAATTTCCTTCTTCTTCTACTCTTGTAAATACTCAAACTACCATCTCAGAAACAACCACAATTGTAAATAATGATCAAACGTCAACTATTTCTGATGATGCAACTAGTGCCACTGCTCTTCCAACGACTACTGATTCTTCAACCACTGAAGCAACTACTACAAGCATTCCTGAATCAAGTACTACTTCTACTATAATATATACCGAAACACCTACATCAACTATTGATGATTTATCCATCTCTTCTACATCGACTATTCCATCAGTATCATCATTCAAAGTGAGTCCAGGCAGTGTTTCTGTGTTCTCAGCTAACGATTTGATTAACTATATAACTCCTGATGATAATTTGTTTAACACTGTTACTATTGCCAGTAGAGTAGGGTTTGATTTTAATAATAATAACAATAATGTGTTAACTTCTACAACTACTGAACCTATGAGTAGCATTACTACTTTAGAGTCAACAACTAATATGGATAGTTCCACAACTACAGCTGCATCTACTACAACTGATATAAGTAGTACTACTCAAGCAGAAATGACTACAACTATGCTAACATCTACAATTCCTCCCACTACTATTTCCAGTAGATCTGGTAAAATTTTGTCTGCTGACCTAGGGGAACCGTTTGGCAACAGCATAGATGTATCTACTCCTTCTACAACAACTTCCACCACTCCCGATTACTTCATCTTCGCAGTCCTTAACAATAACACAATTTTACGTAAACGACCCCCAACTGTACCGAATAAGGAAGTACCTTTCGTAATAGTTGGGCTCCTACCCAATAATACGGTGGTAAGGAAGTACCCTAATGGAACTCTGATTCCAATGGATCCCATAATTAAGGTTAGAGGCTTTGATACCCGGCCGAATCCCCCACCATTGGTAGAAATAACAAGTAACCAAGTAACTGATACCACCAATGGAATGACTACCCCGGATAATAACGCAGCTACGGTATTCACTCCTTGTGTTGTAGAGAATGGGAGGTGTATGGGACAGGGCAAAAAAATATCAATTAGCGAGAACAAAAAGAGTTTTGGATAGGACATTCGAATTCACTTTCTATTCTATCCAGAATTTTTTTTTGTAAATTCCATCAGCTTCATTTTATCACACATCCTGTTTTGTCTCCAATATTATAATTATTTGTCAGCTTTTTGCACGCTTTTACACACAACTTATTTATTTGTGTTTACCTAGTAATGTGATTAATTTTTATTTGTTTGGTGAAGGGTAATTTGTGTTGTTGCATGTTTTTTGTTGCTTTCAAGACTTTTTTATATGTTGGAGAATTTTCAAAGGAAAAATAATGAAATGGTGATTATAATAATATTTTTATAGGTATATTTATCTTGTGTTACTCTTCAACTATGTTTTGTTTTGAGCATTGATGTGTTAATAAACCTATTTGTTGTTTTTCTTTTTTTTACCAAAAGTATATTATAGGTAAGTAATTCATTATACCTACCTATTCAATTCTATGGCCTCTATTTATTTATAAATTCTCTATAAGTACGTATTATTTTCCTACCATTTCTCTATTTTTCTATCATCTATAATATCATTTGCATCTTTAATCTTGTTTTTCATTGGAATCATTATCTTCTCATTCGTAAATATTGCTTGATTTGTCTTTATTTATTGCTTCTTCATCTCTTCATTTCAATTATCTTACGTCCTCTTCTTTCTCCTTGTCTTTTAGGTCGATTCGAACAGAATGGCACGATTACTGTCCACCGAGCAGCGTAATACCGACTTGCCTAGAATAATCATTTCTAGTACTACTGTTGGTAGCATATCGTCATCGAGTACTAGTACTACTGGAAAAAGTACTGTTAGTAGCACATCTTTGATTACTAGTACCCCACCTTCTAGCACAACTACCTCTGGCACCACTTTAATTACCAGCACTTTTCCTCCTATTACTCCTACATCTAGTACTACAGAGGCACCTAAAAGGGTGGAAATTATTGCAGTACCTGGCGAAACTAGAATAAGTAAATCTCAAACTACAACTACTCCAAGTCCTGAATCTACTTCTGATAGCACCACTAATGTACCTTCAAGCACTCTTGAAATTGGCACTGATCAAATATTTAGCAGTACCGAAACCATACCCACTAACTTAGGGGACATTTTAAATGGAAGAACTGTGGATGCTCTAAATAATTTAATAAATCCAGACCCATCTTCAACAAAACTTCCAAATTATAAAAACTTGCAACTAAATCAGGTGAGGAAATTTGAGAAATTTTTTCGTTTAGGTACTTTATAGGCTCTATCATTTTCATTTTTTTTTGACAGTACAACCAAGTATTAAATATACAGGACTTGATAAATAGAGACAACGGAAATGTTGTATTTCGTTGGAAACCAGTTACGAAAACTGAGTATAGAAATATTAAGGCAAGTTGACAGTAGCAACATTTTAGAATTAAAAAGACTAAATTTTACTAAAAGTGGAGAATGTTAAAGTTTATTAGAGAGTATTGTAGCACTGACATACTGACAAATAATATGACTTAGAATTAACTACCTATACATACTTTTTTCGTAATTTCACCACCATTATTTATTGTTATGGTTTGACTCATTTCATCATGGAATATTTCAGACCATATCTTACATCTATATACTTACTCATTGCACGGAAAACTATTTCTAATATTTCACTATTGGATTTGTATATAATGTGAATAATTTTCATAACTTTAACTTTATTAATACAGGGTGAGTCCGAAATAAGTGCGCATTTTGTTATGATAGATAGAGTACAGTAGGACAATCCCTCACAGTTCACATAGGTACCTAGCTACATGTGTCCGCATTCGCAAACGTCTCGTTAAGAAAATACAGTGTTGAAATTTTCAGAAAATTTTGACTTATTGCCTAAAATCGCTCAAGGCATTTTGAATCTAAAGGCAAAAAGTCAAAATTTTCCGAAAATTTCAACACTGTATTTTCCTAACAAGACGTTTGCGGACACTTGTACCTATGCAAAAAGTGATTGTCCTACTGTACTTTATCTATCAACAAATGTCAGACTCACCCTGTATATAAAAGACATATGGTGAGGTTCCTTCCTAGTTTGGGCCCGAAGAACTCAATTTTTTTCAACTAAAAACTTCAAATGCACAATTTATCTAAAAACTCATATATTTTTTAGAACTCTATAACCAGTAACTTGCCCAGTACTGTAACCATAGCACAATCTACTCTTTCGGACGCACCATTCACTTCTCCTATGTTTAGTACAGAAAGGGCCACATTTTTCCCAAGTAGCTCTGATACGGTAAGAATAGAACAAAAAAACACTCTAGTTGGTTAGATTTTCTCATAACTACACAAAAAAAAAACATGAAATACAAATATTTACAAATTTTACTCTATTTCAGTTACTCTCGTCCACTCTTATATCTACCCTTATGCCTGTAAGCTCCACGTCAATACCTACCACTCAAAGTACAACAACCACAATCGAACCAAAAACTACCACACTGGCAACTACCACAACCAGGAGGCCCGAAACTACCACTATTAGGTTGACCACAACAGCAAGGCCCAAAACAACCACTGGGTTCCCCACAACAGCAAGGCCCAAAACAACTACTGGGTTCCCCACCTTTGCTCCATCGACGATTCTACCAACAATTTTGACCACGTTGTTTCCCAATTTGTTAAGAGGTGCCATAACTACCCCTATAAGCCCAATTTCTAGTACTAGAAAGCCATTGATTGGTGCTGAATTAGGCAATAACATTGCAGATGGATTCGAGGTTTTGTCTGTCGCTGGAAGTACAGTATGTATTTTTCATCCTTGGGGACTCCATAACAAAACTTCAGCCCTCAAATCAGTCACTTCTTTTTGTGCTGACACTTCTGCTAATAAATTGAAGTATTAGACGTGCATCGAGGCAGAAGTAATTTTTCTAGAATAGCCTTCCATAAAGTGTACAGATGTAATTAATAAAAGTTGATATAATTGATTAACCAACTAATAAACTGTGTACCGGCTCTATATTTTGCACCCACACCTATCTCACCTGTTTGAAGAGATACCCAGAAATGTCAAGTGTGAAAGTTGAAGGTGATATCAGAAAGTTTTCAATGATGTTAGTTACAAGTCTACAGGGTGTGTCACAAAAGTGTCGTTGAGCAAAATTATACTTTTTTAAATGGAAAACCCCGTATATTATTGTCCCATTGCATTAGCCTTTCAAACCTGATTCGAAATATACCTACTACTAGCCACTGAATATACCATTTTGAAGAAATAATATGGATTTTTCACATGAGTGATAACTTGATAACCTTTATATTTTGCTGGTGGTCTCTATACTTCACCTTTTTCAATAAAAACGCAATTATTACACCTCTTTTTTCCTATTTTCTCCTAGACTATTAGGAATAAACCTAAAAAACTAGTTTATTTGGAATCAGGTTCTAAAGGCTAATCCAATAATATATGGGGTTTTCCATTTGAAAAAGTATAACTTTGCTTGCCACACTTTTGTGATACACCCTGTACTTGTAACTAACATTGAAAACTTTCTGGCATTACCTACAACTTTCACCTTTGACATTTGTGGGTATCTCTTCAAACAGGTGAGATAGGCGTGGGTGCAAAATATAGACAATCACCCGGTACTGTGTGGATAATAAAATTATTAAATGATTGTCACTAACGTGCTAAACATCATACACGAGCGATTTGCACAATAAATACTAATGTGAATATTTTATGATTATTTAATAAATATTTGTTATAGTGAATGGAATGAAATAATTAACTTCCAAGTTCACAGTGGACAGCGGGCGTTTCCATAAAAGTATAAACGTATAATAAATTTGTTATTGAGTTTCCACGTATGCTCATATCTTGGAATTGACACTACAATGACTCAATATTTTTATTTTTTCTAAAAAGTTCATCAAAATTTTTTGTAGGCACGGCCAACAACGGTTTTACCACAAACATCAACGTCCCAAAGAATATCAACTAGCACCACACCTATCACAACCACAACTCAGTCCACAACCACCATTACTACCACCACTACGACAACAACAACTCCCAAGCCCACCATAACCACTACAAAGCGTAAAACTACAACAAATAAACCAAAAACTAGTGAATCGGGCACTCCAACTCCATCTACGAAAGAGGAAACAGATAAATTGTTTGACGAACTGAAGAAAAGTGGTAAATTGAAAAATTTGAATGAAGAGCAACGGAAAAATTTAGAAGAGATTGAGAGAATTGAGAAGGAGCAAGCTGAGTTGCTAAAGCAATTAAGTCTTTTGACGACAATGGTAAGAGTATCAATAGGTATAATTATTTTGCAAATATAGGTACTCATATTTTTCATAGTTTGGAGGTCCAAATGGAAGACAACCTAACTTACCCATTTCTGGTAATCCAGTTGGCGGCAGCAGCAACAGTTTAGCCAACAGAGTAACTGTCTTTCGAGAAAACTTGAATAAAAATACTAAATAATATATTTTCTAGATAATCAATATGGCAATAGAACGCGACAAGTCTCGTCCAACCACTGACTCTCCACCAGAAACATCAACAACCAAAAAAATAACCAAGGCTACAACTAAGCGACCAAACTCTATCCAAGACCAATTACCAATTACCCAATTAGATGATACTACTAAAAGAGTAACACCATCTTTGGAAGATGTTCTTAAACAGTATAATTTGAATGGGCTTTCAACTGAGCTACCACTTACTTCTACTTATGGAAAGACTGACGAAGCCGTTTTGGCAGCTATTTTGAAGGAACATGGCATTGGACCAACGACACCAAAAGTTTTGGGTGATAAGGTTAAGGAAGCGGTAAGTTAGCAAAAAAAATAATGATGTACAATTGTGAAATATTCGCTACCCAATACAAAACACAAAAGTGCAGCTGTAAATACTTTGTAAATATTTTCCTGGTAGGTTTTTGGTGTTTGGGCCATATCACGTGCAACACATTTTAATTGAGCTAATATATCTATTTTTCATTATTTCAGGGTCTCTTTGATGAAAGCACAACCACAACGAAAAAACCTAAACCAAAGCCAAAACCAAAATCCGCGACAACTACAACCATAAGACCTCCGTTGGGTGGAAGACTGATGCAAGGATTAAACTGGTTGCTGGATATTCTGGATCCTCCTACAACAACCAAGAAACCTGCTCCTAGAAGGGCTAAGCCTAAAACGCCAAAGCCAGCAGCCGCAGAAGAAGAATTGTTGACCAATCAGCCAACTAGGATAACGCCTATGATTACTGCAGCCCCTGTTACTAAGCCAAATTTATCTCAAGAGGAAATCAAAGTTAGTTGAGAAATTAAGGTCGTTTCAGGATAAAATTACCTATATTTCTTATTTTAGGGTTTGATAAAGCAGCTGGAAGAAGCTCGTAAAAATCCTAACGCTATAGACCAGCTGGATTTAACCAAAATCAGAAGTTTACAAAATCTCATTAACGTGAATGAAGGAGTGGAAGTTACTCATACTGGTCAACATGGAGCTACCTCAAGAGCAACGCCTCGGTAAATAAGAAGTTATTTCTAAATATACTTAGGTATCTAATTGAGGGACGATTTATTCACCTTCTGAGAAACCGTCAGGCGTCTGACGGATAAAAACGTAGTCTGTAATTCCATTGGTTGGCTAGTTATCCGTGGACCAATAGAATTATAGGAAGGTTAATTTATCTGGCAGATAGTTACCAGCAAGTTGATCTGAAAAGGAATAAACCGACCCTGAATCTTTTTTACTGATAATAATGAGGTGCTTATTCTAATTATTTTTTTTTATGCTGTTGGGAGTCCTCCTCGAGGAGGACTCCCACATAACTTTTGGCGAGGGTTTGAGTCGATATGTGGAAGAGTGTTTTTATTTTCAAGTACGGAGCTTTCTTCTGCTTGCGCGGGCCTATTTTGGGAATTCCGAGTATCATTGGGAATCTCAGGCCATTACGGAATGTCGACTCGTTGTTACATCAGAATTCCGCTTTTCGCTGACAAGATTAATTTTGGATAGTGACTCAATGAGGCGAACATAGAGGAGAACATACTAAGTGGATTCGCCGATGAGTGAGATTACTCTTACCTACATAGGCCAGTTATCTAAAACAAAAAAAAGGCAAAGTTTGCAAAAAATCCTGTAGTTCTGATTTTTTGATATGTTGTCAGGATTTATAGGAGCTGTATAAAACCAAGTTTGCAGCTTCGAAAAACTTGTGCTCGCTGCGTGGTAGGCCAAGACCTACCCAACATTTTTGGACTTTTCCTGGTTTGTTGGGTTATAAGTCGTAAATAATGGATGCTCTGTGAAAATACTATCTTAGCTTTTTTCAATCCGATAAAATTTCATTCATTCAGAGACCAAGTACAGTTTTGTACTCCCAATAGGTTTTGAGATACAGGACTTCAAAAACTTGATTTTTTTTTCTTTCGAACAAATATTTGTTGAGTTGTAAAGAAGAGTAGAAGGAATGACACAACGTTATTCTATATAGTACTTAATTTATAATTATGTAATGCAAAGCTCATTTTTCATAATAAAAAAAAAATCTTATTTAATGTGGGTATTTCTGTTTATTAAAAATTCAAAGTTGAACCGTTTGGATGATCCCGGTGTTGGTGGATCTAATCCTAGCGGGGTCACAGTGGGCTCTTGATGCATTACGTCATCAGGTACAGCTTTATCGAAGTCCTCCTCGTTGTCTGACTTCTCTATCTCAATGGTCGGGACATTTTGTCATGACTTACCCCGACAGAACTTGCAAAGAGCCCTTTACGGCCTGCTTTTTGGCATGTGCAGCCTCCTCCACTGCACCCTTTGCGGCATTTACATGAAAAGAGTTTAAGGAGGGCTGAAGCTGGATCTTTGGTGGATGTCACGGGTCAATAATGCGCATGCGCGGAATTTGAGAATTCTATAATTTATTTTATAATTAAACAACTACACAGGGAAAGGCCCTGTGCAGGGAAAAGATAAAAAGCCAATTTAGATATAGTTCTGGGCGAAGTTCCCGAGAGGAAGTAAGAGAGACCCTTCATTCCTGGTATACAACCGGGATCAGCCGCTAATATACAAGTTATCCCTAAAAAGGCTCAATGAAGAAGGAATAGAAAAGAAATCGGTGTGCGGACGAACACACCTAGGAATGCAATTATCCCAAAAATGGCTCTTTCCATTGAAATCGCCGTTATTCCTAAAAGAACCACCCGACTCGAACTCCTCCCCACCAAGCCTGTGTCAATAAGGTGGTAGGCAGCAGCCGGTCCAATTGATTTCCCCCAACGGACAAGAGAAATCACTTAAACAGAAGGCGGCACGGCACAGCTCTTATAAGGGAAAATTTGAGATAACTTCACCCCGGAGCAAAGGCTCGCAAATCGGTAATCAAGTCAAAATTTCAGTTTTTATTTTTCTCTTCTCATTCTTCTTCAGAAGGATTCCCCTCTGAGGAATGGAAGAGCACACTCACATCCGTACTCCCCAATACAAATATGTATTAGGCCACAACGGCTACAGCAACGGTAATAGCAAAATAATGGTGAGGTAAAAAATATAGGGATATAGATAAAGATAGAGCAGAAAGTAGAGAAAGGTAGGTTCAGGAAAAATTAATGACGATAATGGCTGTAGAAATACGATTCTGCATTCTGAACACCAGCAAAGTACTAGGTAGATAGTATTATTAACGATAATAGGCAGGTTCGACATTTTTTTATTTAAACTGAAATCGAGAGATTTTGTTATTAAAAAACGATTAAAAATAATTTGAGCGCAAAATATTAATATTTGCGTTGGTTGCGAGCAGTTAAAAATCAACGATCGGCGCAGGATAAAAAACGTACCTGTACGCGAGACTAGGCCGCGTGACGTCAGTAGCCGACACGCCATGTGAATTCGTATACTTTCCGTATAAGCCTTTACGGAAACGCTGATCCGATCATAAGCTGTCTGTTTTTCATCTTTCTTCAATGAACACGATTGAAAAAAGACAAATTACATCAGGTGGTGATTGTCTAATCGGATCAGCGTTTGCGTAAAGGCCGATACGGAGGGTATATGAATTCACGTGGCGTACCTGGCTACTGACGTCATGCAGCCTAGTCTCGCGTAGAGGTACGTTTTTTATCTTGGTGCCTATCGCTGATTTTAAACTGCTCGCAACAAACGCAAATAATAATATTTTGCGTTAAAATTTTTTTTGATCGTTTTCTAATAATAAAATCTCTCAATTTCAGTTTAAATAAAAGAAAAAGAAAAAATGTCGAACCTTCCTATTGAAATATTTAATCTCAACGGTATGCGATATTTGGAATAGGTAATCGAGAAAATAAGATATGGCAACGTCAGCAAATTACCAGACAAGAATTTAACCATAAGGTAACGAAATTGATACATGAGCTGAGTCGCAGAAACTTTTTGTAATCGGTACGGTACTGTGAGGGAAACAAAAACTCAATCCAGAAACAAGACTCAGTTAGAGCCAAGGTAAGGTATTTAAAAAAAGGAAGATAATAAAGCTTAGGCCCTAAGCTTACCCTAAGCCTTATGGTAAGGAAAGATAATAAATAGTCCAAGAGGCCAGAGCCGCCAGACACAACTTCTTTTCTGAAGGAAAGAATATGTAAGATTGAATGGCACTTATATGCACTATGAACATATGTATACCCGCTAAGTTGGGTAGACGGCCAATTTTCCAACACCAGCTGCAAAAGGTGAGAAACACTTTAACTTTTTTTCTAACGCTTGATTTTTATATATGTTATTGGGGAGACTATTTCACAACTACGTCTGATTAGCCAGACCAATCGCACCGGCCAAACATTCCCCCAGACGCAATATTAATTTTTCCGTGATAGTGAGCGCGAGAGTACTATGCATGCGTTTACGAAGAGTGAGCGAGATATCTATGTCAAATGATTTCCCCCTCTTAAACTTACAGTCTACTCCAGGCTAGAGTAGAAATGGAAAAAACCTTTATTTACAAATAACAGTTTCAGCTGTTACTACTGTTATTTCCAATTGGCCGTCTACTCAACTTAGCGGGTATACATACGTTCATAATACCTATAAGTGCTACTCAATCCCACATATTCTGTCCTTAAGAAAATAAGTTGTGTCTGGCGGCTAGGGGCTCTTGGACTAAAGCTAAGGGATGAATCAATGACAATGACAAGGTATAAAACAAAATGTCCATATCAACCAAGATACAAAGATAACTTTTTGACAATATTTACATCAATGAATAAGATAAATCGATAAGACAACGGTTAATGATGTGTGTCGAGGCAATCCTAGGCATTACACACGAGAAAAATGTCCAAATCGACAACGGTACGGTAAATCATGATTTTCCTCGGAGTGGGAAATGGAAAAAATCAAGAGCTCTCGTAGGCAGGAGCACTGTGTTCCTGAACAGTCCATTTTTCGCCTTTTCGCTAGGAAGTACTGTTCACTACCTATTACATTTCAAAAGAAAATTAGAATCCGGGATTATTAAAGGAATGCGAAATTAAACGTCCTGGGAAAATATCAAGAATCAGTAGGTAGATGATAAAAATATTCATTGAATTTTGTTTGGTGAATTATTGAAGATATGGGAAAATATATTATTGTAGAAATTGAATAATTTAGATTTATTTACGTTAGTCCATCGTTTTTAATCTGACACTTTCCGTATGAGGAGCGAGGGTGAAGTATATGGCAAAATCAGGTGTGACGTCAGGTGACCATTGGCATTCTAATGTAGGATGCCACCAGCTCATATTCCTTTCGAGTATCGGATTAAAATCGACGAAATTTACTGGTGAAAATTCAGAATCACACCTAAAAAAAAATAATCAGCAGGCGGTAATTGATAATTCTGAAAAGGAAATAAATGGGGCACATAACTCAACCAAATCCTGACATAGGTAAACTAATAAAACAATTAAGAAAGTTTTAAATTTAATTATTGTATATTTCACAGTGAGGTCAAAAATCAATTATTGAAAAATTTCAAAGTCTGAAATCAATTATTGCTGATAAAACACGTTGAATCAATTCAATAAATAGAGGTTAACTTTCTATCAGTTTCATCAAATTCAAAAAAAAAGATGATATTACAATGTACCTCAATATACATGCCATATAAATTTATTATCAGTTGCTGATGATCAATTTGAAATAAAAATATGAAGGATTTAAGTTTCCAGGAAATTAATTTATATATTATTATATGGAAAAATATGGTCAGCTGCTGCCAGAAAGTAAAATCAGTAAAATTAAATTTGAACTGTATGAAATCAAAGGTTAAACGGTGAAGGTATAAGGGAGATATAACCGAAATCCTCAAGTTTCAAGTAATATAACCCAGGTGAAAAATTGATCAATTTTTGACGTTATAGGTACTTACTCATTAATTTTTAAGTTAGAACATAATGTCCAACCCTGACTTGGTCAGATTAATGATTACGATTGATGAGAGATACATTTTAAAACATGGCGGTACTGAAAGTGAAGTAAAGATAAGTCTATAATAAATACGGTTAATCAAAAATCGGTAATAATTTTTTTTTCCATAGCTACTGGTAAAGTACCCTTCAATCTACTAAAAATAGTAGATGAAGTATTACTTCAACCGCAAGGGTAGATTAAATGATACTTTAACAGCAAGGATAGATAAGACGTTTATTTTGTCAAAAATTGATACATATATATTTTTTTTTATTTGTCAAAGTTTGTCAAACGAATTTCTACTTATGCAAAACTGTTCGACTCAAATTATTTCTAAATATTTTTGATACTACAGGCGTCCATAACTAGGCTATGGCTTTGTTTTACACACGACGATAAAATGCCATTATCGTCTCCCGGAATTAATTCACTCGTGATTCCGCTCGTGAATTAACTTTTCCGGTCAACGATAAACTCCCATTTTATCGTCTTGTATAAAAAATAACTAAAAGTTTACTTCGGTGTCAAGGATATAATAAATGAAATTGAAATTTAACATATTTAAATGTAATGTCGGTAAAAATTCAATCAATTATGGTAATTGATCTTAAAATATATTCCATAAAAAAGGTAATAAAAGTTATAATTGAAACTCTATACAAGCCTCAATTCCAACAAAAAGGTATAGTACGGTAGTCGGTAGCCATCCATTTTTGGTCACTGGACGAGGGAAGTTGCACATGGAAGTTGCTGATTCTAGCCTGGAATCAAGGTATTGCCACGTGAGGGACTCAAGAGCTTTATGCCCACGCTGCACGAAAACGTTGATCTTTAGGGCTTGTTGCAAATAGATTTCTTGAGAAAAAGAGCTCCTCGGAAAAAAAAAGAAACGGCTCCCGGAAAAAAACGGCTCCCCGGTGAAACCCTAAGTAATAGAGACATTCCATGAACAACCATCGCTTAAAAAAAAAAAAAACTTAGAAAGGACTCAAACTCAAATAAAACGGTAATCACGAGACTTTTTATTCAAATTTTTTCGGTAATCAATGGATTATTGCCTTACGCAACTTTATTTCGTTAAAATAATGCCTGATAGCCGATAAGGTACCTTTTTCCACGAGAACGGTATTCACACTTGAGGAAGATGGCTGCTCCCAGCCAGGATCAACCTTTCAGCTCGAATGGTGAAATTAAAAAGGGCAGAGAAATGGAACAGGCAAGGTGCGCAGACAGCGCTTCCCCTAAAAATAGTCAACGGAAAGCGTTGGTACTAAACTGGTACGTCAAATTTAAACGAAAATAGTGCCCTCTAGTTTAATAATTTAATAATTATTGTTAATATTATAAGTAGTAGAAACCATTTTTTAATGCTAGTCACCAGACTGTCAACATTAAAAGGTAATATAAAATTGAATATGAAAGAAAAAATGAACAAGTAACATTTGCAATGTTACACCAGCTTCATTTTAAACTATTGTTATACCTATATACCTGATAATTATGTATTCGCAAATGTGAATATGAGGCAAACAGTAAGAAAAATAGCACGGAAATTGCCCATTCTATCCTGGAATCAAGGTATTGACACGTGAGGGACTCAAGAGCTCTATGCCCACGCTGCAGGAAAACGGTGATCTTTAGGGCTTGTTGCAAATAGATTTCTTGAGAAAAATAGCTCCTCGGAAGAAAAAAAAACGGCTCCCCGGAAAAAAACTGCTCCCCGGTGAAACCCTAAATAATAGAGACATTCCATGAACAACCATTACTTTTTAAAAAAAATGCAGAGAAATGAAGCACGCAAGGTGAGCAGACAGCGCTTCCCCTAAAAATAGTCAACGGAAAGCGTTGGTACTAAACTGGTACGTCAAATTTAAACGAAAATCGTGCCCTCTAGTTAAATAATTTAATAATTGTTAATATTATAAGTAGCAGAAACCCTTTTTTAATGCTAGTCACCAGACTGTCAACATTAAAAGGTAATATAAAATTAAATTTGAAAGAAAAAAGGAACAAGTAACATTGGCATTGTTACACCAGCTTCATTTCAAACTATTGTTCTATATACCTGATAATTATTTATTCGCAAATGTGAATATGCGGAAAACAGTAAGAAAAATAGAACGTTACGCACTGTAATAGAAAAATATGAATTAATTAAATTAAATAATATAATTTATGAAAAAATAGTCATAATCATTTACCATTTCAATTTTCCTTTTTCATTCAAGGCCACGAAAAACTAAGTCAACCACCGTAAAAGACCCGTTTCTCACTCAAGTAAATCAGAAACCAGTAGCCTCAACCATATCAACTGTGAGCGTCAGCAATAGCATCGATGATGATGTCGAGCTGATCTCAACAACCACGAGAAATCGAGTCATGCCACCTGTGAGCCTAAACCCTATTCCTGGAATCGATGATAATACTGGAGATTCTGTGATAAGGGGCAACTTGCTGACGGCTGCTGTTAACGTTACCAAAGCTATTTCTAGCTTTTTAGGATCAGCAATACAGGTATTTTGACTTTAGTTTGGGATCTATTCAGTGTTATTGCTATTTTTTAACTAAAATCATTCTAGGATGCAGGCAAACAAGTACGATCCATGTTTTACAATGGATCCTCTGGTGTTTTCAGCGGATTATCATCAGGATCCAGTATCCCTTCTAGTATTGCTAGGGCTAGTGGTTGAATTAATTTTTGGTAAAATACATACAAAATTCTGCAGCATGTTCTAGATGGCTTCAATTTAGCTCTGCATCATTTATTGGCTGAACTCTAATTTTATTCATCATTAAACGTATCATTTTTCTTTTTTTCATTCTTATTTTCATTAAAATCAACTAATTCTGAACCAGGACTCAGACTCAGATTTATTGTCTAGTTTTTCTTTTTTCTAGGATTTCCGCACTTATTCTTTAGCTTTATTATTCTTTTTCAAATTTTTGTTTCAATATTGATTTGACTTGATTTTTTTTGTTATTTAGGGTGCAAGACAAGGATTCCAATCTCTCATTGGATCAGGATCAGCCATGGTAGGAAATATAGCTCAAACTTCTGCTGCTGCTGGTTAAGAAAGAGGCCAACAAAATATTTTGTGCAATTTTGTGAATTAATTAGTAAAGCTATGATTTTGTTACTCGTAGCTAGAAGGGTGTATTTATTGTAAAGTAGGTATGTAGGGAACAGGGAACGTAGACTTTTTGGAAATACAAGCTTGCCATTATTATAAAAATGAAATAATCTACGGCTTCTCAGCCACGTTTAGCTTTATAGTGGTTTCTATTCGACTAGTGTTTTATTGGGATCATTTTTTCTCTTATAGGACAAAGATTTAAACAAAAATATTTGGCTATTTTTCAAGCTGAAATTGCAAAGCGATTCCTATGTTTAGACTTCGCGAATCTATATTATTAAATATGTAGGTACATTTTCACTTAGGTAAGAGAATTTGCTTATGTTAGTTTTTTAGAAAAAAAGCTGTGCTACCGTTTTTTAGGTATTACCTACCGTTAATAGTATATTATATGATATGTGTAATAACCTAACCACCATACGTATTATACATATACAGTATTTTATCTACAACCGTGCGGTAACAAAACATCCAAAAGAAGTTAAAAAAATTATTTAAAAAAAATTGACACACACATTTGATAGTGGACAAGTAGTATTTATGTGATAGGTAGGAGGTAGGTAATTTATACTTACCGCACGCATGTAGATAAATAATAATTATTATCGTATTGCTATTTGGTAACATACTTGGACATATTTCAAAAATAGAGCCTGATCTAATTGTCATTGATTTATAAAATTACAGGAAACCTAATAAAAATTCTACTTTATAGTGTCTTACTAAAAGTTATATAATTAACATATAAATTAAAATCAATTATTTATTCGTAATTACATAAAGCGATTCAACGTTATTAAAGGTAATCAATCCTTTGTAACATCGTCTACAACATAATTATTCCATAAAATAATATGTAAATTAATAAAAACCTGAACAATATAAGAGGGTGATAATTGACTTCTATGAATTTGTTGTTGAAATGCTATAAAGCGTCCATTATTATTTATATTCTATAAGCCACAATAGGTACAACTAGTACTTTGGATTTAATAGGCGCCTAGGAAACATATAATTTTTTTTTAATTTTATTTTTGTGATAATGTTATTCCTACCTTATTCTTTCACATTTTAGTGTCCCTGTTTTATTTTAGTCTGTTATTTAAATTTTTTGTACATAAATTTATTGGATTTTGTAAATTTTCTGTAAAATGTAAATAAATATTAAATATGACATCGGGGTTGTTTTATTTTATAAATTTTCAGTTTATAATAAATGAGTTAGCAAAAATGTAAATTACATTCTATTAATAAATTAATTTATGCGAAAATTCATAAAGTGTCACCATAACTGATATTTACGTATTGATTTAGATATTTATTTTTAATTGTTAGAAACTGGTTCATGAATAAATTAGATTTGTTATTGAAATTGTTTTTCTTACTCATGCAAATTGATTATTGCGTACACGGGGTTGCCCGAAATTCTTTCTTGTTATTGGAATAATTTTATTCATTAACATCCTTTTTTACTTCCTGGATGTATATTTAAGTGAAATAATTCATTAAACTCAATGATTGAACTATATCTCCATTGGTAATTTCTTAAACAAAATGGAGGATGATAATGACATCTCGATTTTTTTTGGTAGGTTACCTATTTATTGTTTCCTGACGTGTATTTAGGGGAGTTGTGCCTGAGATATCATACCAGGGTGAGACGGCATATTGGCGTTTTTAGTGAAAACACTGTAAATTTGGCAACTATGGAGATATGGATATCCAAAAATTGATCAATATGATATGGGAAAAAAACCTTTGTGGGATATGACCATCAAATTATTTCACATGAGAGACATGCAGAGAAAATTCATCCTTCTTTAAATCATCATTAATGATGAAATTCTCCGAATTATTTTCGTTTTGCTAAAATATCATTAGCCTAGCCCCTTTTTCTTTTTAACAATCTCCGTCTAACAAGATAATTATATTTTTCAAAAGATAATCCTCCATATTACTCCACTGTAAAAACTTTGCGAAGTCTGCAAAAACTTGTCCAGTGGACGATATCACGTACGGAAAATCTGACGAAATTATTCGTCCTATTTCTGACAATTGCAATTCGGACGAAAACGCATCGAAAAGACGACCGGCCGTATCCTATCATTTCGTTGAAAGTTTTCTGTCGGGTATCCTATAATGTATATGCTACTTCGAGCACTTAAAGTTCTGCTGAAATTTGTTAATGTAGGAGCGTTTATTTTTAAAAGTTGTACACATCTGTCGCACAAAATAGTTACAAAAATGTAAGTGTAAACCAACAACATACGTCTAAAGAAAATGATGTATTTTAGGGTGAGATGGCATATCATTGACCAGGTTATACCCCACGAAAATAAGACCAAAAAAAGGCCATTTGTGGAATGAGGCCGAACAAGCTGAACTTTTGCAGAGACCTTCGTTTTGATGTTCTAATGAAGCACAAAAAAAATCTGATATTCCTACCCTTGTGCGTCTTGAGATATCGAAGGTCAAAGGTCATGAAAATCGGTTTCTCGCGAAAATCTCGGTTGCAGTGCATCTGACGTCAAAAAACTCACAACACACGTAAAATAATATTCTCTACAAAATTGTCCATATTCATTTTTTTCATACGGCCAACCGTATTCAAGATATATCGTGATAAAGTGGGAGCGCGTATTTAAAATAGGTTTTACTGTATTATACTGCGGAGCTATGATAAGGGCTGGTTTCTCAATAGCGAGTCACCCCTATGTTAAGCATTACTCCAGGGTAAACATTACAACTGGATGCGTTTACCCTTGACTTAAAACCAACCCGGAGGTGACTCGCTATTGAGAAATCGACCCAATGCATTTTTCCTAATCTGTTAGTCTGGAAAATAAGACTTTCAAATATAAAATTGTTAGAAATTTGATACAATTGATACAATATTTCAGAACGGAAAGCGATTTTTGTTAGCTATGTATGGTGCTCCAAAAGATGAAGTATACATTGACAAATTTAGATATACCCAATTCACACGACTTAATAAACCTGTTAAATTGTCATCCCTTCTACCTACCAGTGAAGCAGCTCGACAGCATATTTATCGGATCTACTACCAAGTGCAGATTTGGCTAGGGAAAAATCCACAACTCGAAGAATGGGTTTGGGATTTAAAAAACGAAATATTAGAGCCGAAAACAACACTATTGCTACCTGCCCCAGATGAACTATTAAATACAATATTCTGTAATTGGTAAAAAAAGTGTAGTGCCAGGGCCGTCTTAAGGCATGGGCCCGGGCCGGTCCCAGGGCCTCCGACGCCAAGGGGGCCTTATCGCTAAGTCCACGCCCAATTTAAAATAAATGTTATGGAATAAAAATTGAAAAAAAAAAATATATATATATAGGCAGGTAGCGATAGTGTAGCAACTTGAATGTCACAATATACTTTGACTTTGTTCAAAACCTCCTCATCAACGCACCTTTGGAAAATAATGAATTCAAATTTAAGTTTTGATCATAAAGTACTGAAAAGCTTATCAAAAACACGTTGGTCTGCACGTGAAGATGCAGTTACAACGTTAAATTGTGGATAGAAAGAAATCCAAATGAGCCGTGATACCTTAAGTAATGACAAATTGCTATCAGCAGATACACGTCTTACTCCAAAAACATTGAACAGCAAGATGAATGACTTAGAAACCACTTTCTCAACTATTTTTGGAATGATATTTTGACTCAGAGTAACAGAGTAAATTTGTTTGTCCAAAAGGAAAACTTAAATTTGTCTACAACTGTAAAACTTTTAAATCATTAATTAAGAAAAAAATAGATGGTTTTAATTTTTATGAATCAAAAGCCAGAGAAAAATCTGTTTTAAAGGGGTACCGCGATACTCAGAAACGAGTGAAACGACAAAGTATCAAAGTAACTTTCCTTGAGTTAACGATAACAAAATATTTGACATGTTCGATTTAAAAAAAAAAAAAATTGTCCTGACTGAAATTTCCAGAGAAACGGTAAATCTGTCACAATTTTATGACAAAGACATTAACACCGATGAATTAATTTTGGAGTGTGAGCATTTCAAATCCTATATCAGCATCGATATTGAAAAACTGAAAAAATAGGAGGTAGAAATAGGGAATAAAAATATAAATGAGAAGAAAAAGAAATAAATCTACTGATGATCAAGATGAACCAATAGAAGATGGTGATGATAAGTCTATTGGAATCGGTACTTTATATACCTACATATGTTTGAATAAAATATTTTCACAGTATTTCTAAACATTGAAATTTCTATGAGAATTTTTTTATCCATGATGGTCACTAATGGAAGCGGGAAACGTTCATTCTCCAAACTCAAAATCGTAAAAGCGAAATTAGAAACCGCATGAGTCAGTCGCTGAATAACCTAAGTTTAATGAGCATTGAAAGCAAAATTTTACATTACTATTGATTTTGAAGACATAATTCAAGGTTTTGCCTCTGTAAAATCTAGAAAACGACCTTTGTAAATTATAATTTGTTATTTTCTTTTCACAATATACATTACCTTTCAGAAGTTTTTCTTATTTATTCATGTCGTATTCCCTAGAGCACCCCCTTCTTCAGTGACCTTTAGCCTGGAGAGGTTTTGCCAACAGTCATAGAGCCAACAGATATAGAGAAAGCGTCTGACGCAGAAAATTTGTTGATCGAGATGCTAGTGTAACCCGACGAAGACGAGCAGGAAAGCATGTGCAAAATATGATAATGTTGAAAAACTTTTCCTAAGATTGAAAATATGGATTAGGCCTACTGGGGATACCATGTTCCAAAAAAATCGTCTTGCATTCCACTTCAAAGTGCTGCGGATTTTTTTTTTGTTATGCATATTATATCACAGATCACCTACATACAGATGAGACAGAGCGGTGAATTCGTGATTCAAGGTTATATGTGAACACAATAGGCTGGAACACGCTCAAGCACTATAAATATCCTGACGCGGACGACTTGTGCCTATGCGTCTTGCGGCTGGCCCTGCTGGCCTTCTTGCGGAGCCGTGGTTCCGTAGCTTCAAATCGACGACGGCAAGGATACTTACTTATGTATCTGTATTTAGGTGATCTGTGGTTATGTTATCAATTATTAATTTATCATATATTTTATTATAAATAAACAAATTTTTAACAATTTTATTATTGAAAGTTTTATTTTCTAACAGATTAGGAAAAATGCATTTATAGTTATAGCTCCGCAGTATAATACAGTATTATTTATTTTGAATGCGCGCTGCCGCTTTATCACGCTGTATCTCGAGAATTGTTGGTCGTACGGAAAAAATGTATATAAACAATTTTGTAGAAAATACTATCTTACGTCAGTTTTGTTTTGAGTTCTTCGACGTCAGATGCACTGGAAGCGAGATTTTTGCGGAAAACCGATTTTCATGACCTTTGACCTTCGATATCTCAAGACGCACAAGGGTGGGCATATGAGATTCTTTTGTGCTTCATTAGCACATCAAAACGAAGATCTCTGCAAAAATTCAGCTTGTTCGGCCTTATTCCGCAGAGGAAGTCTAACTTTCCTGGAGTATTAAGATGGCATGGCATGCTATCTCACCCGGAAGTATGCCATGTCACCCCCAATTGATATCGCTATTTTTCTACAGATTTTTATAAAAATGGTTGGAAAATACGTCCGAAAATCAGAGCGTCAAAGTTGGAATGAAGAACATATGGCAGAAGCACTTAACACAATTGAAAATAACCAAATGGGATTGCTTCTGGCAAGGAAAACATTTCATGTACCGCGGGCAACGTTAAAAAGACGTGCTAAAGATAATCGTGGGTCCAATAAGGGTTACTTAGGAGGACATGTTCCAAATTTTAATCCCGAGTTGAAAAATGAATTACAAGTGCGTTTTTTTGGACTAACAACATTAGATATTCGGAGGCTTACTTATAAAGAAGATTCGAAATAGGTTTTCAAAGGAAAAGAAAATGGCAGGCTGGGATTGGCTGAAGAGATTCCGCAAACGAAATACTTCCATTTTGCTTCGAACACCACAGGCAACATCAGCTGCTAGAGCCCGTGCGTTTGACAAAGTTCAGATGAGGAAGTATTTTGATGGTCTTGAGAAAGTGATAAATGAACATAAATTTTCTCCTGGAAATATTATACATGGATGAGTCTATGCTCTCAACTGTTTCATCAAGAAATTCTAAACTTTTGGCTAG